TGATCCCTTTTGAGAGCTATCTTATAAAGGGGAAGGGGACACAAAAGTCAGTCCCCTTCATATTTGAAACGGAATTGATTAACCTTACAAAGATCCTACTCGATAATTGAAGGGCACATTCTATTCTATAAAAAATCCATAATAACCTAATGCGACATCAGACGATTGTCCCAAAGGAACATGGTGCACAATTTGAACTGAACGAGACCCTCGACGGATCGCGGCTATTTCGACCTTATCTGAAACTCTGGTTGGATGTGGCGTTGCATAGTTAGAATTACTGTCTCTGGGAAGCTATCTATCAGTACTGATTAAAGAAATCATGTAGCAGCTTCAGGCTGGAAGGAATAGAGCTCTTTCAGCTAGGCGGTAATGGCAGATGACGTCGAATTCTGAAGACGGTGAAGGCAGTAGAAGGAGGGCACGCTGGTGCTTATGGAGCGGATATCTTAGGAATATTTTAGCGATGAACCAACATCAACGGCGGCGCCCTGTGCGACGAAAATTTCGATTATGTTCGTTATGGGCGAAGTGCCTCACTTCGCTACCCCCTCCCTGTATTCTGAATCGGGGTGATGCGGTCTTTGCCTATGAATTTTGCAGTGAAGATCATTGCACCAGCTGTGCTACTGTGCTTAGTCCATGAAGAATGCTGAGTTGTGTGCAAAACTTTCGCCCCAGCCGGGATTCGTACCCGGATCTCGGTAGTTTAGACGGCGGCACTTGCAGAATCCCGCTCTTCCCACGCGACCAAAAACACCAAAACATGCTTGGTAAAGGCTCAACCGATGTGGAAGTTGCGAGAACGACTCATTATGGTCTGTAGGATAGACCCCTAGAAGACAACTACAGATTGTGGGACTCCCATGTACGAAAATTAAAACAAGGGCGCTAGGGCGTTGCAAAGTTAGCTGCAGCAGCTGCAATGCGCAGCTCTCTCGCCTCATACTCTCCTCTCCGCGCTTAGTCTCTCATTCCTTAGCACAGCCATTAGGAAGGTGAGTGAGCCCTTAACCTGAGCGTTTTCGATTCTTTTCCTTTTTTCTTTACTGCCGGCCCATTTCGCACCAATACATTCACATTCATGTGCAAGAACCACACCAGTTTGACCCTGAGGCATGTCTTTGACGAAACCTTTGAAATTTTCATTTTTTTAAATTTTTATACTAAGGAAATTGGTGTTCATGTTCCTTCCTTGTCGGCCATAGGTTAGGCTTGTAAGGCGTGTAGAACTTGCGAACTATTTGCCCTGGGCGATCAAGCATCAGTGACAAAATCCGATGGTCTTCTGATTTTGACACCTACCATGTCGCCGTAAGCTTATCGTATAACTTCTCCTTGTTGACAGTGTGAACAGCAACTAGTCGTAAGGGTGAAAGCGATAATGAGGGTGGATCGTGCAAAACAGACACGATTTGCCAGCTCTGTGTCCTATTTACAAAACGAATAGAGAAGTAAGAAGAGGAAGAGAAGCCAACCACAAAAAGAGGTTCTGAACATTACGTGTCTAAATGAAAAACAGAACATAAAACTACAATCAAAGTAGAAGGCCAAATTCATTCCAAACAGTAAACATCAATATATCAACATCAGAAAGCAAAAACACGTCATGTTCTCAAAGCACCAGATCATGGAATCACCCTCGGCTAGCGTTTCAGTAAATTTCTAGGGAAGATCTTCTACATATTCACAGAAACTTGTGCATCACGTGAGCATCCGCAGGAGTGCATCGATCGTAATAATGTAGAACGAGGTATTCAAACGATTGAAAACTCTCTTTACTATTAAGACGTGAAATGGACGGTCGAAATTGATCAAACTATAAGGGAATAGTCAGTGAATATTGGAAATACGCAAAGGTGAATTGAGTTGGATTATGCTTTTACATGTGATTACTTAATTTGATAATACATCATAAAGGTTTGTATAATTGAAATTGCAATTATGAAAAAAGCATTAGCATCAACTTCTGGGGCCGTATCCTATCCTTCCCTCAGGCTAGAGCAGGAACAGAGTCCTTTGAATTCATTTGTTGTTTCAAAGACAATTTTCCCTTAGTTTCCGCACTCTTTTGCTTTCACACACATATATACATTACAAATATGCAGTTTCTCGAGACGATTTTCGTTGACAGGCGAGAAAATTCCAAGGTTTTTTTGTTCCCCCAGCCTAAAGGAAGGATAGGATTCGGCCCTGATTCTCATTGCAGGTAGCTAAAGTTGTACAGTAGCGGTACACCACACCGCGCTGCACAAACTCGCAACGCACCGCGTTCACGGCAACTTCAGGCGACACCCCTTATACACTGTGCCTTTCGCATCACAGGGGCGTGTCACCATGCCGTTTCTGCAACCCTGCTCTCACTAGGCCAGGCCACAAAAGCTGCGCGATGATTGAAGCTTAAGGCCAGACTCAGGCTTGAACTTCGGTCTAAGCCTATGATTACACACCGGCCTAATGTGCTTATCCCTAGGCTCAGGCTCTACGAACAAATCAGAGGTGTCTTTACCTGAGGTGACTGAATTGACGAGGAAGGCTGATATATGCTTGCGCCCCCACTGGCTCAAATACTGTATCAACGCTCAGCTGCGGGAATTAAATGTGCGCCACCTACATAGCACGCACAGGAATACGGAGGGGATTACACTCACAACTGTCGCGGTACTTCACAAATGTACGCTGCCTTAGGTTGTGATCTATCGTTACTCATATGGCCATTCATGTAATGGTAGGGAAAAGAAGGAACAGAACAATGACAGCGAGTCGAGGCTGCAAAATGGACACCCATTGGTTGTGTTCTTTTTTTTTACCAGGTAGCTCCGAAACCGAATAGCACAGTGATTTTTGTAAATTGCAGATTTTGATAATGTCTCTCTTGTTTGGACGAAAGCGGCTCAGTGGGCAGTATCACCGCCATGTACGCCTATGACACCGACCTTGAGACTTGACCAAAACCGTTTGACACCACGATTAATATTTTGTTCAAATAAATATGCTTCCATGAAACTCCTAAGTGAAGCTGGTGCAGATGGTTGAAAATTACCTGAACATGAAGCCGTATCACAGACACGCAGTGGCTGACAGCTTTAGAAATGGCAAAATCGACCAATTCTGCACCTATTCCACGGCAACGATATAGGGGATGAACTGGAACCGCAATGGTTGTGTGCAGAAATGAAAATCAAACTCAGGTACGCTCACCTCCCAATGACATAATGTAGAGGGTCTTTGTGCAGCCGACTATCTCAAATTTACAGCATACCACTCCAACACATGTTCCGTCTAACATGACAGCAGCACACAGATCATTGTTTAGAATCTGAAAAGATGTGAAAGACATTATAATGCGCAAGTGAGTTAGGGTACTCGAAAGGAAGCCCGTCGCGCGGCACAAGGCAAAGTCAGCGGACGAGTCGCAGCGCGTACTGTAGTGATTTCGCGTCAAGTTAAATAGAATGTCCATTGTACGTCCTACATCGCACATCACGCGCTGCGACTCGTCCGCCGACTCTGCCTTCTTGCCGCGCGACGGGCCTCCTGTCGGGTACTCAGTGAACCAAGTTGTTGGTGAGTGAATTGAAGGATTTTCGAAGCCAGTCTTCTCCTATATAAAATGAAGGAAAAGAATACGATTTAGGAAGCGTATCGAGGACGTATATACGCCACAAGAAGTACACTTGGCTGCCAAGAAACTTAGAAGTGGCACTTTCACGACGAAAGGTGCGCTGGTTGCTGAGCAGGACTTCGAAAGCACTCCGCCCCAAAAGCGATCCGCCCACTAGTTTAGTTGGTGATTTGGACGAGCTTGTTAGCAGCGGCACAACTGAACAACTCGACTAGAGCATGATAAGCATGGTGATACCAAACGCTTAACGCATGCGGTAAACTCGTCCATATGTCCGAAGTCTTAGCTGTTGCTGTCCTTGAAGGAAAATTAACGAAGGACTCCCTTTTCGCGTTTTCTTGACAAATTTCTCTGCTTTTTTTCGCCACTGGCGTACGTGGAGACACAACGGCTCTAGATAGGTGAGAGAACTGGACCGTTTTCCAGATGGGGCGAAAAATCATATTGCGTATGAGGCGCTTCAGTCAAGTTCACAAAAATGGAGCGGAGTAGATAGAAGTTCCACGACAAAATATCCCAAAAACGTCCACAGATGAACACAGTCGAACGCCTTGGCCAATGAGCTCAAAAAAGCCTGTCCTAAGCCTACCACACTCGGTGAAGCTGACAAGGAATAGACCGAGCAAAGAATCGCTCTGATAGTTGATAGAGCCTCCTTTTTCAATAAAACCTTACCGTCAAATAACTGCGCAGAATTTTTATGAGTACAACAACACTCATTGGTACCTGTAGACGAGATCGTTTAAAAAATTCCATCCAAATGTATCGTTCTGAGCTGACATGACATTCACTGGCTGAGGTATTCAAGTGAAAAAGTACCTGATCGAAAAATTTGTCGGAGTACAATACGGGAAAGATCCCTGCATGAAGTATTTTCACAGAACGGATATTGCTCGCATCAATCGGTACAAAATTTATAGACGAATTCTGTAACAGACTTCTAGTACTGACGTCGTGTGGGATCCCTTGCTCCTCTCTCGCCAAACATTTTATGTATTGTATTAACCCTTTGACGACCGCCGTTATGAATGCGTCACTTCACTTCTTTCTAATTTTTTCATCAATAATCATTAACTCTCCAACAATTTCACTATTAGTAATTAGCGCATTATTCCGCGAATTCGATAATGTATTTGTGTAGTTTTGAAAACATAAAAATGCCAAAATAAACCCCTAAAAACGTGTCGCCACCGAGCGAAAGTGTGGCCCACCGGCGGGCCACACGGTCGTCAAAGGGTTAAGAGACTCTTCGAATCAATAAAAAATAGGAATATTTCCTGAAAGAATTAGCATTTGTCAGGGAGACAAGGCCGTTGTCCGATAGATCATTAACCCAGGTCTACAGAGCTTTTCACTTCTCATCTTTATGCTGCACTGAACTAGGGAAGGCAAGGAGTATCTATGCCGATTACAGATTGCTACAGACCCTCCCATTATCGATGGAAAGTAAATGTACAGAGAAACTCAAGAAGAATGGATACTACCAGCCCTTCCACTATCGTATTCGATGCCCAACTAGTAGAAGACTTAGTAAATGAACTGCGACCTGACATCCGACAGATGAAAAATTCATACACACGCACACAATCCGAAGTTCTTCCGCACTTTACAGTCTGCAGTCTCGGTAGAAGGGGCACCACCATTCATCGAGATATAGTTATATAATATAAACCAGCTTTAAAAACTACCTCAAAGCCTACTCCGAATAAGAATAGTTACCTCACCATTTTAGAGAAAATGAAGTATTGCTTCCTACTCCCTCTGCTGTCCGCCGAGATTTTCAACTTTTGGTCGAGGCCTCATCTGCAGAAAATGAGCCCGACCTCCTTTCTAAATCATAATTACAACAGTATGGACCACCATTTGTTTGAAAACTTACACAGGTCCAATCAAAAGAGCAGAGCAAATGTAAAGCTGCGAATCCGCTTTTTTGTGAAAAACACGAGTTGCGTTTGTCGTACAATTTATTCAATGAAATAACATGCAGAGAGGAAATAAAAGTACCCGAAGTAAACAAAACAAAAGATTATCATCACCATAGGGTAATATCGCAGTTCACACTGATAAACTCAATGTTTTAAGGATGACAAAAATATACCAGCGAGGTAACCCACGGCAACACAAACCGTTATAACGCGCGCTCAACGCTCACGAGTTACTAATCAGGGGTGAGAGCAATTGAAAAACAAGAGAGCATCTGTATGTACAACATTATTTACATAAAGTAGAAATCTTAACATCAGTGCACTAACGAAAAACATTGCTTGTACTCTATAATTACTCAGCAGTTCTCGTGACCTGATCGTCCAAAAACGTGACATCCGTCCAGACCAGAACCTTATGCGTCAATGAACTCTGGGGACACAACACACTCATGCGTTTCTCCTCCATGTTGATCTGTAAACCAGTAAAATATCCTTATCTTAAAGAAGCATTGACTATACGCAAATGAAGTTATTTGGTGAGAAAATCATGCGAATTCCAAAGAGAAAGACACATGTAATACATCAAACACATTTTAGGACAGCTGTCCGGATCACAACTCCTGAAAGAAGAATCGAAAATGGAAAGAAGTAGAGTGTTGGATCACCTCAGTTATCACGACGAATCCTAGGACGCTTGCTTTCAGGACTGCTTGAGATACGGTAGGACAGGGAGTGACGCAAACAATCCATGTGTGGCCATTTCCGCCACTGACTGATGGGGACTAGCTCCTGAAGTTGATAGTGAACGCGATCACGCACTGTCCTCCCGTCACACTCAATACTAAAAATACCTTGCCCTTCCATGATCCTCGACCTTTGGATACCAAAAGGAAGACAATGACTCAGTAGCCCCGCCTGTTTTCATGTCCGATTTTACGAACGTTTTAACATAACAATCAGCCACAACCCATTTCGTAAGTGAAAGGGAAATATGGATTAGAGTGCACGCCATAGAAGTACTGAAGAGACTCATAGATCTTCAACAAATATTAAAACGCTATCAAAAAGGTAAAGCAAAATCAAAACACACCCTATGTATAGATGCACGCGAGGCAGCCAAACCCACGGGATTACGAGACCACGACGTCTCTACGCACCAGATTTCGCTGATGAAAGAATCTTCAAAGCAAGACAGTAAGAAAAATGAGCAGTATAACCTAATGAGGTTCTAAACTGAGCGCTCATCTCCATTAATGGGGGGGGAGACATTGAAGTTAGTGAATCATTTACAGTCTGGAACTGAGCCTTAAGGATGGGAGAGGGGAGATGACGTGAGCAACCTTTGTTCTCCCTGGCGTTTCTTCCCTCTCCTGAGCTTAGTCTTACTCTCACCTAGCCGTGATTTTTGAATGCCTTGCTTTGAATGTCCCCTAGCTATAAAAGACGCTTTCATAGGGTGTTACGATGGTACGCCATTAGGTTACATATCACGTCCACGATTGATACGTACCCAATGCTGAGGTCCCGGACGACTGACTACGAGCACCCCTAAGGCCAACTAACACTCTAAATTACTAGAGTTAGGCCAAAAAAAAATGATTGATACCAAAATATTACATCTGAGCTTCATCAAAGGGATTCGAGTCTTTTCTTGATAAAGAAAGGGCAATGGAAATTATGTTAAATGTAAGTAAAGTATTACCTTGACAAACGTGGGCAAATCTCGTTGCAATTCATTGTAAAGGCGTTCATGGTCGAGTACAACGACAACGTCAACCTCGAATGCTTCAGCAGCTGATACAATGCAAGCATACCTAAAATATTCAATGAAGAACGGGTGGTTTGAGGACCTTAGCAATCTTTATGCCTTCGAATTACCTATAAAATTTATTATATTATGCTTAACACTTACATGCACTTACGGAGCATGCAAAGTGAGAGGTCTAAGACTAAGCCCCTTCGAGGCTTAGTTTTAGACTCTCACCATGCACGAAACATCCACTCCGAAGCTCCCCTCCTCTTCAAGGTCTCTACTTGTCTTACAATATAAGGCTTATCTCACATAAGGAAAAGCCGACTGGCACTCTGTGCATTCACAAGAAACCATTCAATGAACTTAGACCAAATAAAGCAACTACCACTACTTTGCCAAAAATCATAAAACCCATGAAAAGTACTTGCAAGGCACTCAATGAATACTACTTCGACGCATCATAAATGTCGCATATCCAAGCTGTCATTAGTCAAGAGTTAAGGGCTTAAATCCATGATGTCCTCACTTACCAAAAAAAAAAAAGCCTGCAGTACTTTGATATATTGCTCAACAATTTGTATAATAGATATGAAGGTTTTGATCATTTGATCGTTGAGAGACTGGACGCCGTACAGCTTCTCGGCCTGAACCAATATTATGAGCACATAACTTACTACTCCATATCTACTACTACTCACATTCCTTCAAATTAGTTTCAACATGAAATGTCATGCTGAAAATGACCGTGAAGAAAATTCCACTCAGCTCTCAGAAACTATCATTGTTTCCCATCACAACAGGCGGTCACAATGGATGCATAGCTATACCATTTTTCTTCCATTCAAAATGTTAACATGTAAAAAAATGTTGGTGAAGCAGGAATCAAAGGCCCAAGCGTTCCTCGTGTAACTACAGATTCATCGGAGAAAAAAAATCTAACATCAGTTGAAAACTTTACAGGAGGCTTATCGGGAAAAAGTCGTAAAAGGCAGTGAAAAAATAACAGATAAGAGAAAGATGGGGCAAAAAACAATGGAGCTTCAAATCCCACGAATCATTTAAGCACCCCTCCTGTCGACTGTTGCTTACTTTTCTTTAAGGTTTTTTCAAGAAGAAAAAGAAACTCATTGAAAAAAGATGGAACGTTGTCATAGAAAAAGGGTGGAAAGGTGTGTCAAAGCGAGTATAAACCGCAAAGCAGTGTACATGATCGCATCACACGATCAGCTCTGCATAAAATGAGAAAAGCCTCACCCTTCTCCAGTGACCCAGCCACATGTATTGATGACGAGACCTCCTAAATTCGCTTCTGGATGAGTTGCACACCGCGCTGTGACGGAATCGGCCAGTTCTTTCACCAGTATATCATAGAGTGGCAGATTTTCGCCCGGAGATATGTGACCGAACTAAAATAATCAAGTATTTCACAATGTCTCACCGATTTCTAAACAATTCATTGTTACCACAAAAATCTTAAACCAACATTGTAAACCAATGGCTTCGATCTGTCGAATCCTTCGACAACGTCCGCAGTTTTGTTGATGAAAAGAGCACCGATCGTTCCAGGAACGGAAATACTCCCCTAAAAGTACCGTCACAATGAATGTACGCCATACCTGAACAAATTCACAGAAATACCTGGCCAACGTCGAGGTCAATGAATACTGGAGACCTTCCCTGTCTTACTGCGTAATTGCAAAGAATTCGGCACACTGTTGTTTTACCCACATCAGTCGGTCCAACTAAAATTGTATAAACATCAATTGAGCCCTCAATGAAATCAGGATATCTACAACTCTAGCTACATGAACACTTTTGAAACAGGCTAGCTATTTCCGCTTATCCATGCATGAAAGCAAATTATGTTGACCGTTTTTAGCTCTACGATCTTTTATTTCATTTGACCAACACTGGCAATGTATCACGATCGAGAAGTGGTACACTGGCAGCATAGTGAAACATTTAGATATCCTAATTTATATGAGTAGCAAAATAAACAATATAGGTGATAAATGACAACATAAGGGACGCGCAAAGTGCAACTAATGGTCAAAAATGGACTAAGATACGTCACATTGGAGCT